ATCTATTAGGTTTTAGTGTATTTGATTTCAATTTTTTACGATGAAATGTCATTATTAAAATGACACTTCTTTAAAATTCATAAAATTTGAAAACATATTTTGAATTAAAGCACCAAACTGATATGAGGCTGAATGCAAGTGTGATCGACCAGTGTTGCCATAGGAATGGTAATTCTAGAATGCACGGTAATTCGGATGAAACACGACCTTCTTACGGACATACATATTACTGTCATCAAATTATGTGTAATTATGAGACATTAACTCTGCGCAGAAAAAAGCCTATAAAATACTGATATTGAAAATAAGGTTAAATAATTTACATTTCAGTTTCATGGAACTGTATGTGACTGTTTACTGTTTGATATTTGAATTGTGAATACAATAAAACGAAATTTTCCAAACTTCCTTCAAATTCAGGTTTATGAAGAATATTAAATAATATAAATTTACGTTTTATAGATTAAAGATGAGCATTAGATATCACATAAATAAGAAAATTAATTTTCTCAAAAATAAACTCAAAAACTACTTCAGCAGGCAAAACCCCGAGTTCATTCGTTAGAGAAGTTTATGAAGATACAATTACACACTTTTAAATTACAACAGGTTTCTAGATTATTTAAAAGTAATATGAGTTTTCTTATACAATTAACATTGATTTGAGACATTTGATTGATTGATGCGACAACTTGCCTTATCTATTTATTTGAAAGTTACAGAAATATTCACTGAAAACTAATTGTAACATCATTGGTAGATCAAATTGAGAAAATATAATGGGCTTTACTTTACAAAACATAAAGAATGAATTGAAAATTAAAGATTTGCAAATTGGTGCATGCCCAAAGTTTGGGTGGTATCACTTGAACTGACACTTCCAGCAGTAGCTATAATTGAAAATAGGCGACAACTGCCGCGCTGATTATGAGAAATATTCTGCTTCGTAAACGAAGTGTTTTATTTCGTATTTTCTTATTTTACTCGTATATTAGCTGATGAACCCTGAGTAGCCGGGGCGTTTATTAATCATAGTCATCTATTTATTAGATGGAAAAATGTAAATTCTATATATGGTATAGTACGCGCCCTGTAATACCTTGCCCAGCCTCGGCTCCCTCCCACCCGCCCGGTCTCCGTCCCTAACAAGTGTCGCCCGCGCTCTGTCCTGCAAATCCCGACTTATCATTCTATTACGATTAACATTGCCTACCACCATCGCTGCTACTAATAATTGAAAAAGGCCCAGCAAACCAGACTTGAATCTGTTTTTTGTTATTCAATGATTCGGAGTCTAATTGTGCTATTGAAATGAATTCAAGACTGAATAGTAAGAAATTGTATAGGTTTTCAAATAAATTTCATTCAATTTCATGCATTAACTCATTGTTTGTGAGTTATATGCAAAAAATGGAAAGAAACGCTACTTAAATTTTTCTCTAAGGGATAGGACAGTAGAATAAGAGTACGAAATCGCATACAGACAGTTACTTTTTTCTTGTTTTAAAGTTAACATATTAACACAAGAATTGAACTGTATATTTGTATAAAAATACCAATTATCTAATATTCTTCTTTAGTTAGAACAAAATAATAATTCGAATGCAAATAGACTAATAAATGTCACACAAAACAATTTAGGCCTACCTTTCAGTCGGTTTTCGATCTTAGAATTTATATTAAGATTCTTTTGAGCTTTACCCCCGGTCAGGATTAACACATATTGCTGTTCCAAATATGATTGAGACTGGTGCAGGAGGAGAGACGGTGCGCGTTTAACTCTGATTAGAAGATTTTACTCGAAACTCGGTAAATACGCGGGGAGTAGGATAGAGTTGAGCTGTTCCTGAGATCATTACCTAAATTTAATTTTGGAGATTGCATGAAGTGCGTGGTAAATTTTCAACATTTTATGGACAATTGCTGAAAATTTGTCTTGAAATTTTTGTTCGCAGAGAAAAAACTGCGTTTATAATATTGTTACAGTTTTGATTTTCATTAAAACGTCTGACATTAGTAAATAATATTTTTTCTGATATTTTCTGAATTTTTAATAATATTTTCTACATAACTTCATTAAATTGTAGATATTTTAATGATGTTATGTACTATTTTTATAAATATGAATAATTGTTCAGTAATAACATTGAGATGAGAAACATTTTCGGTATGTTGCGCATTCCCAATACATTTAGTTGGAGTAATTTATGTGTTTGGAATTGTCAGAGACAGCGGACACTTTTCAGCTAACAGGAATAATTATGACAGACTCAATTCAAAGCTGCGGATAAACAACGCACTTCCTCAAAGTTTTTCACTTTATCTTTGTTTAGGTAAGGAGTTAGATTCATCGTTCAGGACTTTTATTACTAGAGCCTTTCTTAACCCTAAGTAAAAGTTTCGTGTTTCAACTGTCATCGGATATTGACCAAAAAATTCGAAATCGTCGCCTTTCGTAATCGCTTGGGAAATTTGGCATACTCTTGTAGCTAAGCCTTCCTACAATCACGTTGTACTATTTTAGTATTTGTTGATATTCACACCCGAAGAGAAATCAGATCAACACTATAAATGTTGAACGAATTCTACAGAAAATTAAAAGTTCATCTGAGACACTGCGGTACGGACCGAAAAAATAATGTGTTAAAAATATTTATGGACTTACCTTAGTTAAAAATAAATAATATTTAAATAGAAACATACAGATATAATTACAGTGTACCTAAAAATACGGAAGATTAGCTATAAAAATAAAAAAAAATTAAATAAATACTAATCAATTATTCTCTGTGTAGTGTTTTAGTAGGACAGTGGTATTCTCAAAATATTTAAAATAATGAAACCATTCGTACATTTTAAAAGATAATTATTTTTATTATCACATTTTAATGTATTGGATAATAATAAAACAATTCTATTTTAAAATATACGAGTAGTTTGACTGTCTAAAAAGTTCTGAAAATACTACTGTCCTACTAAAAAATCTTCAAATATATTAACATTTTTTCCAAAAAATTAACTTGAAAAAAGTTGTATTCCGTAAATCTGAATATATTATATCTTAATGTATTATAACGTAATTTGTGAAAATGCTCCAACTGAGAAAACGAGGGGGAAACTAATTGTAAAATGCACTCAGGGATGTGTTGAAAAATAATTGAGAGTAAGAAATATGACTACAGAATACATTTACGTGGAGTTTAGTACAATTTCCTAAGTAACAAATTCGATCCATTACCTGCATGTGGTTGATATAAAAACTTTCCTTTTGCAAAGCAGGCCGCTTCTAATGATTTATTATTCGGCATCCATTAGCAATAATAGAAATGTACAGTGAGAAACACTGCTATAGATCCTGAGCAAATCACGACACACTGTCCATGTAAAACATTGGCATAAATTGTGAGAAAAAATAGTTATCGTCATTAAATCAATAAAAGGAAAATAACAGATATAGATGAAATTTTTAAACTGAGGAAGGATCCAACATGTATAAACAAGGAGTGTGTAATTTGAGTTTTCGGCCGTAAGTCTACAATGGCTTTAACGTCGTCCGTTAAGTGACGTCGCGTCGCTATGTCGATATAAGAGTAGAATATTCCGAAAAATTATTAACATTGAGTTTTTCAAAACTGTCGCAAAATGTTTGAAGGTTTTTAGGCAAGTATGTCAGTTTACTTAAACAGATCTCATTTAAACAGAAAAAAGGTTTTATGAGTCGATAGACCCTTAATGAAAAGAACGCCCAATCGACATTTGCCAATGTGTTTAAATTTTCAATTTTGAGCCACGGACTCCAAGGGTTGTTTATTCGGAAATGAAGTTACTGAGTAAGTGTATACTTACTGCTTCCGCGCGCTCCAAAATCTTAGGCCACTAGCCCTGTAAGTGCAGGCCAGTTTATATCTTGGGAGGTGGCCGGTCTCGCCGCTGGAACGTCGGTTCGCCCTACGCGACGCCGTGAGGGCTTTCCCCGTCCTGGAGTTTTCCTCCACGGGGCTCTGCCTCAAGAGAAATAACTTCTAAGCTCCCCATGTGTCTGGGAATATAGTGCATCTCAGACCTACCCCCATAAACTTTTGAGCTATTCCAGTTGTTGAGAGACCATAGCCTTCCGTATAGTCACATTACTGCACTACAAATATCACATTAATATTCAGAACTTTTAAAGTTTTAAACTACGTTTTCGGAATTATAGCGGTGCTAGAAATGACAATGGGGATTATTCTCACATGGTCCATATGCCTCTGTCTCTTGGTTCTTTCAACCAGCGGAGCATATTTTGTGATCTTCTCGACATACTTCTCTTGAAGATTTTTCGTGTTTGGTATGTCTATGACGATCAGGTAGATAGTGTCTAAGGAGAGAAAAGGGAGGCCAGAATGATGAAGAAAACATCGTGTATTCTCTATGGTGCCATAGTTATAATACTACTCCCGCATTGGCCTGCCAATGATCGGAGACTAGAAAAACTACCAATCACAGCAGCCGAAAACCAGAATGCTCCTCCAAACAGTAGCTGAATTCACCTTTTGTCTAGTTGGTGTCCAAAACCTTCCACCGACGAGGCTGAACCTCCAGAAGCACCTGCTCAACAACTGCAGTGTCAACAATTGTCCAGAGAAATCTCAGCCGGTGTACTTTTACTGCTTTAGCCAAGAAACGGTGGGAGAAACCAAGGAAAAGAACCGATCAGCGCAGCCAGGCGTGTGAAATTCCCAGACTTCCAGACAGCGGCTGTATTCGACGTAGCTAACTATTTTCAAAAATTCGCCCCCTCCGGGACTCAAAGCCCAGGACCTGCCAGTCAAAAGATCGGGTGGTGCGAACACTGTGCGCTCTCGGACGGACGCCGTCGCTGAGGAGAGACACGAGATTGTCGTCGGCGCCGCAGCATGTGACCTCTCGCGGTTGACCGCCGAGCGCCCCGCGCGCAAAAACCGCCTGCCAGCAGCGCCGTCTGGCGTCAGCGCCGCGCCGCGCCTCCTCCGCCCAGTCGGCGCGGGGCGACAGTCGCCCGCCGGCATGGGTCGCCCGCGCTGGCTCCTCGCGCTGCTGTGGGCCGCCGCCGTCGTCGCCCGCGGGGCAGAAACGCCCGCCGCGTGCGCCCTGCACGCCCTCCACGACTGCCAAGGTGCTTAGGCGCCGCTCAGGCTAGTACACTTGTGGTTCATTCTTAGTTTACGGTGCAAGTCACGTAAAAGAACGAGTCACGCCGAGAAAGATTCGGTCTCTTCGCTTTCGGTTCATTCTGCCTGTTTAATGTCTTCGCATACGCTTTGCCCCTCCACATTATATTACCAACTTACTTGTTCCTGCCACATTGTAATGCCAAATTACTTTCAAAAGCAAGTTTTCTCGCTTCTTTCCCCCGATTGCAAGTCACGACGAGGCTCGAGTCTTCGGCCCTTGCATTGACTATAAATAACCTTAAGCCATAGAATAATTAGCAATTCACCTCCAGTATTCAAACTCTGCAGTTGCAAACACTATGAAGAAAGAACACCACAAGCTTTATTTAGAATCCAAGGAACAGTGCATAGTGAACGGGAATCGTACCCTAAAATAAGAATGAGCCACACTTTCTTTTGGTTTGTTCTAAAAGGTTGAGCATCGCCCAAGACCGCATCTCTCTGCGAAATGTATTCTTCTGCCAGCCATGTGGGATGGCTGGAGCGCCAGCTATTACTACATCAATGTCTCAGTTCACTGTGTGTATTTTTAGGTTAGGAATACTTTTCAGAAGTGATTTACATTCTTCTAACATTGGTACAACTAAGAGTAGTGTAAAATTTATTCAAATCATGACAAAAATACGTTTGCATGTGAATGAAACGAATCATCAAACGAATTGCCTATAAATAGAGAATTATTGTGAAGTGCAACTGGGAAACGATATAAGTGCCAAAATTAAAAATCGTGGAAAATTAAAGAAAACAATATTACTTTGAAACTATTTATTTTATTGCATTTTGGAAATTTCCAACAGTTATTAGTCTAAAGGAAATGCCATGATGCTAAACAGTGTTTATGATATAAGTGCCTTGGAAATGTAGCTACTGATGCACGTGAAAAGTGAGGGGAACATGATTTCAACAATAAGCCATATTTTTTCTCAGAACACGCTGGCGCGATTGCTGATGCGATTATGTTAATATTTTTTTTAAAGAAACCTTTAAAGGGTACTTTTACTGCCTTCTACCAGCATAAAAACAATATCACACGAAAGTTCTCAAGATAGCGGAATGACAAAAAAAATTGGAATTAAAGCGGCGCTAGCACAAGTTGGGGAACGGCTATGAAAAAGTATTGCGAATAATTTCTTCAGTAATACGATCATTACCAACAATTTCCTTTGTTGTCAATGAATGCCAAAAAAGAGCGCTTATATGAGTGATCACACAATATGTTTTTTGTCTGACAACGTAATTTGCTGCCATCGTAATTGAGGTTCATCCAACCGCTTATGGCGTACATCAGGATCTTTGTTTGCTTAGTCCCAGGAGTAATTGTAGTATATAAATCGTTGGGTTACAGGTGAGGCATGTTGACCATTTTTTCAGTTTAGAATTGTTTAATATTGTTGCATAATCTGCATTGAGATGAATGCCCACTACTTATTTTTATTTTATTTTAAACCCGTATGGATTCCTCTTCATCGTCATTATTATAATTTTTTTGGTCGCGAATTGGCCGTCTCGGGCCATGCGAACATGAACCTGTGCTCACAGAGGCTCAGAGTCTTTTACCCCGTGCACTGCATGTGACTCCTACATGAGATGATCGGCATTAAGAAGACTCAGAACTTCATTCCCCCGAGTTCCTTGTCTTAAGGGGACGAAAGATGGAGAGATGATGATAATGAAGGATGAATGGACGACACACACATACAGACATACACAAACGCACCCATGTCCGAGGCGGAACTCGAACCTGCCATCCTTCCGACCGATGATTGTTGTTGTTGTTGTTGTTGTTATTATTATTATTATTATTATTATTATTATTATTATTTAACCTTTATTTTCTTTTATCGTAAGGACAAATACACAGGTTATTCATGACCAAAGCATATTTATCAAAGTCTTTTTGTTAGGAATTGTCATCTACCTTACTCCCATAAACTTTCAAGCTATTCCTGTTGAGATGACCACTGCCTTCTGCATAGTTTTACAAATATCACATTAATACTCAGATCTTTAAAAAAAGTGTTTTCGAAATTAACCCGGGGCTAGAAATGATATTAGGGATGATTCGCACATGGTTCATATGATTCTGTCTCTTGATATTTTCTCTTGAAATTGGATGTAGGTTTTGAAATCCATGATTCTGGGGGAAGGTGAAAATATAGTCTCTTAATATATGCCGACCTGGAAACGTGTAAGCAATTGATGTGTTGTGAATGTTAGTTTTCAGTGTAGCCTGGGGTTATTTGTAAACAGAATTGAAGCGAGTTAATGATGAATTGATATATTAGCATTAGGTAGGGAAAAAGTAGAAAAAAAAGGGTGTTAGTAATAATAAATTATAATTGTGATTTTCATTTACGTTATTTAAGACGAAAGGCAATTAGACTCCGTATTTCCGAAAGGATTTACGTCACGATTCACTATGTGATCAAACGTATCCGCACACGTCCGAAATGTTATGCTGTGGTCGTGTTTTTCATGGAATGGGATTGCGTCCCTTTTTTTGGTGTGGCATTATCACGGCACAGATGTACGTTGATGTTTTAAACACCCTTTTTCTTCTCACTATTGAAGACTAATTCGGGGATGGCGATTGCATCTTTCAACACGATCGAGCTCATACTGCACGACCTGTGGCTTAGTGGTTACACGACAATAACATTCCTGTAATGAACTGTCCTGCACAGAGTTCTGACTTGAATCCTATCGAACACCTGTGGGATGTTTTGGAACGCCGACTTCGTGCCAGGCCACATCGACCTACATCGATACCTCTCCTCAGTGCAGCACTTCCTGCAAAATGGCCTGCCATTTCTCAAGAAACCTTCCAGCACCTGATTGAAAGTATGCCTGCGAGAGTGGAAGCTATCATCAAAGCTGTGCGTGGGCCAACACCCTATTGTATTCCAGCATTACTGATGTAAGGCGCCACGAACTGGTAAGCCATTTTCAGTCACGTGTCCGGATGCTTTTGATTACATAGTGTAGCTCCGAAGATGAGGATATTTTTATATAAGTCGACTGTAAATAAATAGTCGTGCATATAGATATTACCTGAAACCCAGCGATAATAGGTAAAACACTATGACGAGAGCAACAATGACATTCATTGCACAATTTCAGCCAAGAAGTACAACCATGAAATCAGCAGTACATTTGACACCATTTGCTTATTGTTCCGATAGGAACAGATAGTAAATTATGCAGAAAAAAAATGAAATCAGCAGTAAGCTTACGAACTTTATATAAAACCGTACGATACATTTATGCTGTAAATATGACAAGAGCTTTCAAGCTAATTCATCAGCTCTAAAAATTATGCAAAATTGTTATAATAAATGTTAATGTTATGATTTTTGAAAGGCGAAAAGGCTGATAATTTACAGTACTTGCCATCAATTTAATCATTAGTTTATTTTGCAGATCCTCCAGGAATCGTGGTTCCGTGTGGAATTACACGTACATATGCAGCAGGTAAGGCGAGGAATGTTGTACGTCGAAACACATGATTCAATTTAAAAGTGAAATTAATATAATAATATTGAGAGAATTTGTAAGCATATCAGGGCAACAAAAGAAATAAGATACATTGATAAAATCAGTAGGAAAATGGATGTTACAAATAGCCGCCCATGGCCTGGCGTCCATCGTAGCGCATAAATGAAAGTTATCAAAGATAAAGTAGATATGTTACAAATGGCTGATGAACGTGGGGCAATGAAATCAAGTATCCCATATTTGAATAAATAGTTATGTTACATTATGAATTACACGTTTATAGGTCCCCGCTGCTCATCGAGACTTCGCTTGGGAGGGAACAAACTGCGCTCGTTCCCTCAGGGGGCTCGCGGGCGTGCAGTGAACCGGCTCTCCGCACTCTCCGACGCGTCTCAGCTGAATCCGCGGATCAAAGTTCTCGACTTGTCGGGGAGCGGTTTAGTGAACGTCACGAAGGGACTAAGAAAGCTCTCAGCGTTGGAATCGCTCGACGTTCGTGGAAACAAACTCGCGTCGTTGCAGTTCCTGCCGGAACCGTGCGGTCTTCGAAAGCTGGAGGCTTCTTGGAACAAAGTGTCCACTCTCTTGGGCCCGCTGCATCAATGCGTGTATTTGGTGAAGTTGAACTTGGGTTACAACCAAATCATGTTGCTTCCTAGCGGCGTTTTCAGAGGTATGCGGCGCCTGAAGCTGTTGGTTCTCACGGGGAACAAGATATCGGCGCTTCCCCGACACGTCTTTGCGAGCTTGGGGAAGCTTCGGGACCTTCGTCTGGACAAGAACGAGCTTCTGAACTTGCCCGACGGACTGTTTGCTGGGCTGCGCTCTCTTCGCAACCTCACTGTGCAGGTAGGGAAGACAGGTCTTCACAACTCATAACCGTGGTTTCCGATTTTTTTTAACGTCAAAACCAACCCCTAAGACACTGAAGCTAGGTTCCTGCCTAAGAGATGTGGATGAGACACATTCAGTCACGAAATAAATAATGAAAAAGAAGAAAAAAAGTAAAGTAATAAAGAAACGTATGTTCTAAGATGTTTCAGAAGGCAAAAAAGAAAAAAACTAAGCATCTGTAATTCCAGGATTTAACAGTCCGATACCAATGTCATTTTGGCTCCCGGGGAACACTAATGCGTGTGTGCGAGGGGGGAGAGCAGAGGGAAAAGAGACCTTAAGATGTGGGCAAACTAATTGAGATAGTTCTATACTTAAGAAATATATATATATTATATTAATATATATATATATATATATATATATATAAGTGAAATGATACAAAATTTTGTTCGTGGAAATAAAGGCATCAAATTTATTTCCCAGGAAGCAGCAAACATTTTTTCTCCGCTTGTAATAATACTTAACATCGCGTGTTTTTTGTACGGAAATATTTGGTTTTACGGAGTAAATTTCCTCATAATTTGATGTCACTAAATATAGTTATGTAAATCCATATGTAAAATGTCAAAGGTTAGAAATATTCTTCAATAAAAGCCCAAAATTACCAGTAATTATAAGTAAAATTAACAGTAGCGTCTCATAATAGTTAGTTTTTTAATCTCTTTAGTCCAGGCTGTCTTTTGAATATTGCCCTACCTTCTTCATAACTGCTAACTATCGTCCCCTTTTTATATTTACAATTTCTGAATTTGTCGTTCTCTTAATAGTAGAATTGAAATATAATGAAAAGAATAATATAGAAATTAACACTTGGTTCTATATTCAAATTTGTATTGAAAGGTTTTGAGCCGTTTTTGAGCGCTCATTTTCACAGAAAACTTTTGCGTTTTCGAGGAAATGTATAAGGAATCAGTGGAGGCATTTACCTTCAGAAATGCAATATTGACCAATATCAGCCATGTAAATGCGACATGGGAGATATTTAAATATTTATTTGTATTTTTTTATAATGCAAAAGAATAATATATAAAAAAAACCCGTGTCATGTAATTCATGATATTTAGTGCTATCCGTATCAAAAATTTCTGAGGCGAGCGTTACATTGATCTGCTTTGTATCTGCTTTGCTTCCTAAATAGAATTCTTTTTTTCTGAATAAAATAAATTAAAGTAGAAGCATTAACTATAAATAAATATATTATATCACTTGAACTTACACACATGAAATCAACAAAATTCGTCAGGACAAGTAATTGCTGTCTGTCTCCACCCAGCTTATTATTCAGGCTGTTTTTTTCTTCTTAAATTATTTCCGGGGCAACACGACGTCCTAACATAGATCGTCATTTTCGGTATCTACTACACCCATTTATGGATGTACGGAGTCACCACAGTTTAAAAAAAGAAGACGTGATTGATAAAACCTTCTTTAACAAATTACCCTTACTTCAATCATCATTACGCTCAAAGTATTTGTATTTTGATACAATTGTAAAAGATCTCTTTTACAGATTCAATTTGGAGGAACATATCTCATTCACAAAAATATCTCTATTTTCAGTATTGTAGTTGTAGGAAGACGCCCACAAATTTGTAACTTTTGCAATATTCGAAAATTCAAAGAATTGAACAAAACCGGACCTGCACCATTCTTGAGAGTGTTCTTTGCTCTAAGCGATAAAATAGTTTATTTTATGAGCTTCCAAAAATGTAAATATGTCGAATGATTTTTACTGTTTGATTGTGGCACTGGTCCGTTATTTCCTGGCTACTACCCTTGGCGTCGCCTCTCAGTGCTGAATAATCTGTTCACCAGGACAACCGCCTAGCGTCACCGAATGCTCAACGTATCTCATTGCCCGAACCACTGTCTATCCTGTTGCCTGATTGCCTGTTTGTCAGAACAACTGCCGGAGTGGTTCAGCACCTACCGTATCTGTTGTTTGAGTGTCAAATGAGCTTAGTGGCTGATGTGCGCGTTGTTGTATACGTCAGTGTGGAGTGTGCCGCTGCCGACAGAGCGACCGCCTGGCGTCGCTGCGTGGCCGGTGGCGCGTGCTGCGCGCGCCTGCGTGGGCGTCGGTTCGCGCGCAACGCATCGCTTCCGCCCCAGCCGCGCTGGCGCCCGCTGCTGGGCAGACGCGGGCGGCGGGCGCGTCGTGCAGCTGCAGGCAATCCACGCCTGCGCCGCGCAGGCGCTGCGTGGTCTCTGCGCTGCGTGCCTGCGCACCTTCGTGGCGGCGGCGCGTGGGCGTGCGGCGGCCGTGCGCTTTGGCCGCGCGGAGGTGCGGCTGTGCGTGGCGCGCGGCGGGCGCGGGTGCACGCCCGCGACTGGGTGAGGCCGTCCGCCGCTCACGCCCCACGCGCCTCTTCCCGATAGAAGCTGCGCACTGGCACCACCACTCTAGCGAATTGTGATAACGCCGTGATGCCGCAACGGAATCTCTCTTGGAGTTTGCGCGTGATGTGTTCTCGACGACCGTTTAAATGCAACCGAGGTGTACGGGAAGGGACACACTGCACATGCCTGGTAAACCCATTTGCATAAACATTCCCCGATCTGAAAACTTTCGGTAGACAATTGCGAACTAGATATTGTACCCGTTTAGATTTGTTTAACCTGCGATTGAAATTTATTTTATTGGCTTTCTCATGTGCTTTCTTACACGAACTGTGAATATAATGTTTCTGTACGGAGGCTGCCCGCTGCAAAGTTACGAGATCGACGGTTTTGAAACGACACGACCTGTGTCTCTCTCCCATCCATAACGTCATCCAAGTGTACAGATTTCTCGCGCGATATATATGCGGTTCTTTCATTGTACATCAAGAGCAATAGATAGTAACGTCGTTACATCACTAAACAGCCAATAACAGACGTAGTTGAAGTTTATAAACGGTGGCAATAGCCGAGGTTTGTAATACTAGGTATACGTCATCAGGTGTGAGTCATTCAATATTTCCCGTAATTGTACTCTTCAGGTTAAAAAAATAATATAAACGAGAAGTATCGCTTGGACGGTACGTTCCATCATCTTTATCTCCAACGTATGTGTTATTAAGAGACGCTGGCCTTTAGGAAGGGTTGACGTGGTTCGCACAGTTAACTAACGTCATTGAAGTGTCACTCGAGGTTTCGAGTTCCGAAGGGGGCAGGATTTTCCACATAAGCTAGATAGCTAGGTCAAACGTATCTTCTGTCAAGAAAATAATTCAAGTGGCCGGCTGTCCAATTCTTTTTTTTTCGTGATTTCTCCTAGCAAAACCGAGTGAATGCTGGCCGAGATCCCTAACAAATGTGCCTCATACCGCGTGATATATTTCCTTCCTCGTCTTTGTTCTATCAATTCCCCTTGCACACATTCACACTTACATGCACTCCCCACATGTGGTGGGGAGACCATTCTGGAGCTGAGAGCAAGTCACGGGGGAGATGTTGCCACGGTACTGAGAGACATCTGGAGGGAAGCACCACAAGCCGACCTTGAGGCCGACGACGGATCTTGCCAGCCAGAACACTTTTACATCTTCGGTGACACACGTACGAGACACGCCAAGAAAAACGAAATTCAAGTTAGCGAAGTTAACAAATAAAAATAAATTTTATAATCAGCGTAAATGAAAAAGTCTTAACAGGAAACATGAAATTAGCAGGTCATATACGTTTAGCTCTTCTCCACCACACACACATCAGGTATGGATTGGAGAAAACACGGAAAACCACCAAACGATTAAATTCTGCTCCAGAGAGAGGCTGAATTCCACAAATCTGTAAAGCTACTGTCGAAAATCCCCCATCGTCGGGCCTCAAACCCCAAATCATCTTCGGCAGAGACGTTGCAGCGGCAACTGCTGTTATCATGGACCATCGTAGCCGGTGTGTTGCTAGGAAGTGCAGTTGTCGATGTGATCAGATCAACTGATGTTTTTGACAGACCTCATTCTACCACGAAGAGAGAAGAAATCAAACCAAGAGTCGTCTCAGAAAAAAACAAGAGTGTTTTATACACGAGTGAAGCATGTGTCAGGAAACAAATAGTATTACAAATGTAGTGATTAATCCAAAAATTCGCACGAATATTTTAGGCTAAATATAAGCAAATCTAGAGTCGTTTCAATTTCAAATGTTATCTCAAAATGTGTTTCTTTACCAAAATTGCTTTAGTGTATGGTAGGTTATGTATTGTTAAAATCAAAAGACAAGAATGAACGCTTTACAGTGCTTCAGTTTGATATCAAAAAATTAAAATATATTTCAAATGAACCTTATAAATTTGATTACACTTCATGTTCTTTCAAATAAGCGAAGCAGTGCTTTTATTGGTGTTACTGTGATACATCTTTACGCAAAACCCTGGAAATAACATGTAGGCCAGCTTTCTAAAATATGATTATGATAAACAAATGCTGGAGCAATGTCGTTTTTAAGCTAGTTATTTAAAAATGTCGTAATTGTTTTGCAGAAATTAATGGTGCAACCATGGTGCTTCGACCATGGTACCACCACATTCGTTTCTTAGGGTCCATAAACGACCTAAAATACTCAAACATACTAGACAGAGGAATGGTTATTCTGTAATATTTCATACTGACTGAATATGTGTAGCACGCCGCGAAATTTGGAATTTTCCTTTTTTTGGGTCATCGGTTGAAAAAACGTTGGAAGACACCACATTAAAGGGAATATAAAATTTGAATACAATAGAAAATCTACTCTGAAATTAGTGCCCATTGGAAAACGCGAAAGTTAGAGTCAAATGCTAAATTTTTAATCACATTTGTGATCGTACGTTCTTTATAAAAACAACATTTAAAATGTGAATAATGAATTCCCTAATTATTGACCGATAAATCAAGTAATAATATTTGGTTTAATTTCGGTTTAATTAATGTTTAATTAAGGTTTTGATTTAATATATTGATTTATTGTCTTAAAATTCATTGTAATGATAA